GAAGCAATTTCTTTTTTGTCATTTGAAACAAGTTTTTTTTTTTTTTAAGATCATATGATTTGGTCAGAGACTAGTCTACAGGGGTGTAAACTCAATAGTGAGACAGAGAACCAATCCAGATACATGACTATGGAATGAGACTGAAGTGGTGATGGTTGAGACGCTGAGAGATGAGAACACTAGACACAGGGTTCGGAGGTAGTAGGACTTGGTAGTGGGTTGGGTGTGAGAAAAGGAGAGATTAAATGCAGATTTATTTTGGAGGCTTTTTTTAAATTTCAATCACAATAAATTTGAGGTCCTTTTGTGAAATAGAGGAATGAAGTTAGAACTGCATAAACCTGTAGAGTTCAGAGGAGCATGCTGGGCTGAAGATAGGAATCTGAGCATCATTTGCATGTAGGTAATAACGGATGCTCTCAGGGGAAATGAGAACGCCTAGGAGGAGAAGGAGTGAAGAGAAGTCCTTGGCCAGAGCCTTGAGGAACTCTGTCATTGAATAACGGGGCAGCAGATAATAAATCCTGCTGAGGAAATAAGGTTAACCTGGTGAGGAATATGACTAGAAAACCAGGAGAGTTGGATACAGAGAAAAAAGACTGAGGGGTTCTTACCCCTCAGTCAGATTCTGCTAACAGATCAAGAAAGAAGAGGGTCAAAAACTCTCATTTTGGCGTAACATTCCTGAGGTCACTGAGCACTGTGGGGAGGGCAGTGCGGTGGGCTGATGGGGCAGGAGCCAGAGCATAGTCAGCCAGGAAGGTGAAGAAATGGAGAACGGCAAGAGCACACGGCTTTTCTCAGGATTTGGGCACTGAGGGGTAGGAAAGAGAGTGATGACTGGAGTGGGATGTGGTTTGCTGTACTTTTTTTAATGGCAGATACTTATGTAAGGTTGAGAGCCAAGGTGGAGGATCCAAGGTGGAGAAAGAAGCTGAGATTATGAGAGAGGAGGGGTATGGTGTATGGTAATCTTCCCGAGAGTGAAATGATGGAACCAATAGAGCCAGCTCTTCCACTGCTCCACAAGGAAAGATGATGGTTGTGTACACACCTAGGTAGGCTTGTATTGGGCTGCCCAAAAACTTCGTTTCTTTTTTCCATGCAGTGGCTCTAGTGGTGCTTCATTTTCTTTAACTTCATTAGAAACAATTTTGTTAGATTGTATTGTGAGGAGCTATTATTCCGTGGGCATTTGAAAACATCAGAATTGGTGAGTTTTTGTGCAGCCATTTTATTATTGAAGATGGAAGACAATGCACAACATTTTGGCATATTATGCTTTATTATTTCAAGAAAGGTAAAAGTACAACTAACATGCACAAAAAAGATTTGTGCAGTATATGGAGAAGGTACTGTGAATGATCAAACATGTCAGAAGTGGTTTGTGAAGTTTCCTGGTACTGTTGACATTTTAGCTAAATAATTCGTTGCTGTGGGGCTGCCTTACACACTGGAAGACGTGTAGCAGCACCCCTGGCCTCTGCCCACTAGAAGCCAATAGCAGGGGACAGCTGACATACTCCAATTATCCAAGTCAATAAAGTTATTGGTGAAAATGAAAAATATGTATTTTATTTTATGGAAAAAACTAAATGGACTTTACAGCCAACCCAATAGATTGCTACATAGGAGTTAAGGGAATTCTTGTCTGAATGTTTTCATTTTCTCTCTGTGTAAGTGATAAGGCCATCTTCTAGGTGGGGAGGTTAGGAGGTTCAAGGTATGAGGCCAGGGGAGAAAGTTTGAAAATGTTAGTATGTGAAACGGAAGGACTAGGTAGCCAAAGAAGTTGTGGTCGATTGGCAGGCAGTTTTGAAGGCGTACTTGAGTTTGCCGATCGTGAATGTATGACATCATTCTGCCCTGTGTATTATTTCTTAGCCTGTGTTCAGCTCCTTGGCTTCAGGCGCAGAGAAAGACAATGGCGGATTTCGGCTGTGGTAGAGTGGAGGTTGTTGACTTTGGAAAGGCAGAATTCAAGGATCTCAGAGTCCTGGTGGTTCATGGGCCAGTCCTACAAAAGAAACCCCAAACCCTAACTCTGAGGTTCATGGGAATAAACCAGCACCACGCGAGACTGAGAGGGAAGCAGTATCCGTGGAGGAAAAGTAGGTTTCAGGAAAGGCAACCACACAGATGTTTACAAAGTCATAGTTTCAGGGAACACAGTTGAAATGTATGAGTTTAGACCCAGGCAAGACATTCTAACACATGGAGTTCCAAACTCCCAGCACCCCATTTCTTTCAGTGGACGAGAGCGGCTTTGAAGCAGGCTCCACTGTGACTGTTCTAGATGAACCCTTTAGAGATCAGTGGAGATCATATCCAACCACACAATTAATTGCTCAGGGGGAGACTCTCTAATTTTTTTCCCAGCTGCAAGTAATGTGGTTTCTTGGAGAGTGCTGCAGAAGAAAGAACGGACTCTTTTTTCATGTACAAGAATGGTAACCTCAGGTATGAAAGCAGAAAGAAAAGTTAATAAGATTCATCAACTTAACCTTGATTTGCAAGATTGTAAATGAGGACAATGGGAGCTCTGTGACAGGTGCATTATCATTACTTTAGGCAAAGAGAACCTGTCCTGACTTTGTGCAATTGGTGGGAGAAGCAAGAGGTTCCCTGACAAGTGTGTTTATCAAGTACATCTGCAGTGCTATTTTGCACGCTCAGTTGCATTCCTGTCATTCTTCGCCATGCTCATTTAACATGATGGACTTGTTTGGCAAACTCTTCAGGTGGTGGGAGGACAGGGAGAGGAGGAGGCTTACTCTGAATTATAAAATTAAAAGTACTAGCACCTCTCGTACACTTCAACCGTTTATTCTCCTCATGCTCCTCGACCATCACGATCATTCGTAGGAAAGAAAATGAATGGTTAAGTGGTGTGATCCTGTGAGTCTTGATCAGTTGCTCAGAGCACCATGAAGAGAGGAGTCTCGTGTAGGCATCTGGTTTGACTTGAATTCTTGATTAGGGAGGGAAAATGAGTTTGTCGAGTTCTTTAAGCTCCGTCGCAGGGAACTTCTCTGTGTCCTGCTGAGTAAGGTAGTTGAGAGGCATCTCTCTCTCCTTGATGGTCAGAACTAGCCAGTAGCAGGTGGCATTCGTTCAGTGCTATATGCATACCCTGTGCTAAGTGCTTTGTGTTAATTTGCTTTATTTTCCCCAAATAGCAGTCTGGTATTTCTTACTTTCATCTTTCAGAATATACAGCTGAGATTCGGGGATGTTAAATGATCAGCCCAAGACCACATAGCACAGTAGTGGCAGAGCCTGAATTCTGGGCTAGATATACCTCCAGATGCCACATTCTTCGCAAGAACACTCTAGAGTCATAATGTCCAACAAATACAATGAGAGCCACAGCAAAATTTTTAATGTACTAGCCACTATAGTAGAAGTCAAAGAAAGGTGAAGTTAATTTTAAGAACATTGTATTTATCCCAGCATATCATCATTTTAACATATGATTGCTATTAAAATTTTTACTGAGATATTTTACATTCATTTTCCACACTAAGTCTTTGAAATCCAGTGTCTTTTGTATTGACAGCAAATCTCAGTTTAGGCTAGCCACATTTCAGGCTCTCCATGGCCACAGTAGGCTACTGGTTATCACACTGGACATTACAGTTCTAAACTCTGTTTACAGATACAGTTCTTTATCATAGAGCGTTTGCTAAGTTTATTACAGGTTTTGCTTTGAGATGAGTAGGAAGAGGACTTCCTGTGTGTCCTGCTGGTCTCTGATGCTATGTTAGTGCCCACCTTGCCACCCCTTCCCTGTGTGGCAGCCTTCTCTTCTGAAAGTTTGTGAGTGTGGATGTGTGCATGTATGTACATGTTTATTTTCAAAATAAATAGCTACAAACTTTATAGAGCACTTAATAAGTACTTGGTTATACAGAGGGAAAAAAAGAACAACAACAAAAAAAGGAGCCAGTCTATTGCTAAGATTAAAATATACTTAGGTTTGTATCCCTTTAATACCTGTTTTAACTGAGGCAATCTTTCTGGAATTAATCTTTCTGGATTTGTCTGTTTGTTATCTGTTCTTACAGGATTTTTGAGGGGGGAAAATGAAATTATACCTTTACTATAATACCTGTGAAGTAGGAAGTGATTAATATATTAGCCATTATTGTGCACTTATGTGCAAAGGCCTTGTATAATTGCTACCAAAGGTGGGTATTAGCATACCCACGAGTACAAGAGCAGGGTATAGACTATATGGAAGTTACAAAACAATTATACAAATAACCCATATGATTTGCAGACAGGTAACTTTATACATTAATTAAATTTTAGTCAACCATTCTCAGTTGGAGAACTCGTCTCTTCCTATGGATATATTACATTGAGCTCTATTTTGAAAGCCCTTAGATAGTGATTGTCTCCAAATTTCTTCTACACTTACCTTAAGTTTTACGATTTGATGGGTAGAAAGAAAGGGGAGCTTTTTTATATCTTCATATAATTGTGAGATTTGAGTAGCTTCTCAGCTTTTACTTTTTTATCCAAATAAAAACAGAGGTATTTTAGGGATATATAAGTAACATTATCATTATCATAACATACGCATTGTATGAGCTAAGAGTAATTTTATATTTCCATTTTTAAAATTTGTTATAAATTGTTGTCATAGGAAATACTTAATCCAGCAGCTCGTGTTGGTGGGTTTCAATATACCAGCCTTGTATGTGTCCAGCACCAGGGTCCTAACAAACTGTTCCCGCTCTGTTTATGATCCCTAATAAAGAGCAGTCAACCATGATGATATTACCATATAAGCTCATTGAAGTCACACATAAATGTCTACCCATGTTGTTTTTAAAATTGAACAAACAGGTGGTTATTTGTCATTGATGGGCAGGTCACTCCATCTCCATAATTTGCCTTCAGTCTCAATCACTGGTCTGTGTAAGATTTAAGGATATATCCCTTCACTTTTCTCTCTGAACTAATGTTATTTTTGTCTACACATTCTTATACAGAGGTTACTACATAATAATTGTGCCTTTGAAGAAATCTCGTGGGAAATTTATCAAGCCATGGGAGAGTCCAGATGAAATGGAATTAGATGAGGTAACTATGTCTTCGTTGGCTGTCTTTTATTAGTTATTTAATTTATTAAACATCCTCCTCCTCTTAAAAGAGACCTTTCAGCATCCAATCCAGGTGCTGACTTCTGCATGGCTGGCTGGTCGGCTGGCTGTTCAGATACTTCAGTGCTTTGGGTGTGTTAAACTCCAGGAATCACAACAAAGAGCCTTTTGCTTTAATTAAAAGACATTAAGCTGCAATAAAGCTTACAACCTGTCTTAATCTTTGTTGGCTCTAATATTTTGCCCTTTGCCCTTTGTAAAACGTGGTGCAGAGGTGTGAGAGGTGAAGTGAATTGTTAGCAAAGACTTAATCACCAGTGTTATGAATTCCAAAGTCCACTTCATTAATGCTGCGGTAGCTGCAGCTGTTACACATGGTAAATTGCATTTTGCAGCAGAGTTCAACATTTAACCCACTATGCATTCTTGACCAGGTTCTTCCATGATTATGCTGATTAGCATATGGTTGACATATTCTATACTCTGTAGGGTTTCAGAATCAAAATTGTATTTAACTGCACGGGCAAACAAAAGAAACAGCATTTTGACCTAAGAAAGATACACAGTACAAAAAATAAAGCAAATACTAAATGAGTATAATTTTAATTTCCAAAACCTTACCACAGTGACAGGTACATTTTAATTTATACTCTCTTTATAGAAAGAGCATTTTATTTTTTTGAAAGTTAATACATAGTATGAAGAACAAGACCTAATTATTATATACCTCTAGTTAGATGAGAAAGCTGTGATCAGAAGTATTGAGCCAGATTGCCCAGAAGGCCACAGCAGATTAATGACTGGGCTTCAGCTTTTGAAGTACAGGAGACACTTTGCTATTTTAACGTGATGCTGGATTCACATCAGTTGAGTAGGCAAATGAAAAGGCCCCCTTTTGGGGAAATGGGAAATTTTAATTTATTGCTATTAATTACAACAGCAGCTCTATATCATCGCTCAACCTGTTATTTCTAGGTATTTTCCCTACCCTAAATTAGCTAAAACAAAGCAAGGGAAAGCAGAAATTCCCTAACTGCATTACGAGGAAGTGATATTTATTTCATACTCTCTGCACTGAGGAGACAGTGATCTGACACATAAGGTCTAGTAGCTTCTTTTGGCAGACACATGTTGTCTCTAGAAGTATGGTTCATCATCGTCCATTTCATTTATTTGAGTGAAACTGAAGTTGAAAAAGGGAGATGAGTGCAGGGTTAGGACTGTGCTTTTGTGTCGCTGGTCAGTGAGTAGATGAGCCCTGAAGGAGTATAAAGTGAGATGCCATTCGAGGAATGGTGTCAAGCAATTTATGTTATAAATTTTATTTTTTGCTGTTGATAGTAAAGGAATAAAATCACTTTTCTATGATGTTAGAGGAGTATTTATTCTTCATCTGAATATGCAAAATGATCAGCTAGTCTTCTGTAAACATTTGACACAGGGTGTGCTTTTAGTTGCAGTCGGTTAATCCTGAGATATTCTTTATTATTTTAACCAGTTTTCCCCTGAATTACAAAATTCAGATGGACTTGATTTAAAATGAAAAGGCAATTTGTAGAATCTATGAATCTTTCTACCTATTTAAAAAAAAATTTTTCAAGGAATTAAGATCTGGCCAACAATGACATCTAATACTTTTAAATAATAAGATTCCCATATAAGTGGAGCCATTTGCTGGTAAGTGATAGGAAGCTGGTTCTCTTTTACAGCCAGGTTTTAACCTCCAGAATGCACAGAAATACTAATGGATTAAAGTATAGAGCTATATGACATTGAACTTTCTTGCAATTAAATTCTCTGGGTCTGTGCTGCTGATTCCCATAACAAAGGGTCATTTTAATCATCCCACATGCTGTGGTGCATTAATCTGTATAATAGTTTGATAAAGAACATTTATTAATTCAAAATTTTTGGGCCAGGATGGGTTGTTACCCACTTTTCTTACTGATATAATTGAGACCACATTGTAGAATTAATGGTGGAAGAAATAAGATATGCATTGACTGGAAAATGAAAATTATTTCTGATGAAAAACCAAAGCCCTTGATATATCATCTGGAATTATATCATCTGGAATTACCTCCAATATATCTTGTAACTATTGCAGAGGGGAACAAATGAAAGTAGGCTATGACCCCACTTTATGCTCACTCATTCATTTTCCGATCCCTGCAGACAGTTTTTCATGTTTTGTTTTGTTTTCCTACCACAGCTAATAAAATCATTGTTGTAAATTTATCAGTAGGTTGGTACTGCTAGGTTTGACAAAGCAATGTTCCTTTCTTAAATGTATTTGACCAAGTGATTTTTTTTTAGGTCTATTATTCAAGTTGTTCAAACCAAATCATCAACTAGAATGGAGGCCTAAGGGGATTTCCACATGTATGCCTCACATGTAGGCTCATAAAAAAATGGAAAGAGGCTTTCTAAATAGAGTCACTCCCAGTATTGTTTTTTGAGCTCATTTATCCTTTGTCTGGGGGTAATTTCCCCATAATAAATTTATAGACTGGAACTCCTGTTGTCTAGGTCAGGCAGGGCAGAGCAGGCATTGATAGTCAAAATGGATTCAGGGCTGAATGAGTCCTGAAATGTTAGTTATACTTAATTCAGGGCAGGTCTTCTAATATATTACAAGCTTTTCATCGTGTTGTACTTCAAAAGCTTGCTGTAAAATAATGTGGTCATTTGAGGTTGTAACTTGAACAGACTGGCTGACTTCAGTGTCATCTGAGCATACTTGTCTCATTTAAAGAATAACACAGGAAGCATCCTATGGAGATTAGAGCAACCTACAGGGCAGAGTTGATTTTTCAGATTTGACCTTAATGAATGGCCTCGTTGGATTTAAGGAGCGCCAAAAACTCAAATATATTTTTTTTTTAACATACCCCCTCTAAATTTTCTAGAGATACCCTAGCCAAAGGTATTCATGGGATGACAGTGATATAGATGGATTATGATAGTTGCCTACATCTGAAATATGAATAAAATCAAGGTGTAGGGTTTGATGGGTGAAGTAGAAGAGGTGAGACCATCACATAAACAACCAATGGTAAATGTTTCTGATTAACCAACTTCAAAAAGCTGTTCAGTTCATCTGTAGTGCATGTGTCTTCCTGCAAGTAATGGGCCATTAATTACTACATATCAACAATAACCTTTGTAATGACTTTTCAAGCATTACAGTGAATATATGGTCTCAGAAGTTTTTAAAAATTACATGTAAAAAGAACCCAGGAAAAGGAAATCTAAGTACATGCTCATCTCTGTTAATGAAAGCAGACACACAAACTTATATATGTCTACATATAGACCAAATGAAAACAATTTAATCAGTTTACCTTAATTGTTGCATTTGTTTCCTTGATGTTGTGCAACTAATAAGTAAACAAAAATATAGTTTAAAAATCTTACATGTAATTTTATTTTGTTAATTGAGTCTAGCTATATATTGCCACTTTCTATTATGCCTGAGTTACCTCATTTATAAAATGGGGATAGCCTACTTTATAGGGTTATTATCAGTAGCAAGTGAACTAATATGTGTTCAGGCTCCTAAGAACAGTGCCTAGTAAATGCTTAAAAAATATTAGCTATTATCGATATTATCATTATTTTTAGTAAACCTAAATTTGACAATAGGATTGAAAGATATTACTAAGTTTCTGGTCTGGATTTATTATAACTCAAATCGTGCATAACTGATCAGCCTACCTGCATTTATCGTCAGATGGTCCACATTTACTAAACACGTTATACTCAATCTACTATGGTTTTCATAAAATAGCTTATATTTCATATAATTCTGATTATATCAATGAACTCAAATTTCACAGAAAACTTGAGAATGTTATAAATGAATAGTTATTCAAAAATAACATGGCACAGATTATATAACCAAAAGACTGTTTTTTCACGTTTTTTAGCTGAGCACATTTACAGTTCTCAGTGTAGAAGAGACTATAGTTTAGCATCAAGTTCCTGACGTAAAGATTTGGCATTTGTCATATGTACAACCTGCAGCTGTTACTGTCACAGAAGGCTGGCCTCGATTATGCTAGGATCTCATTCTACTAAGAAGATATCATTAGTTTGGTTTTTACTATTATCATTTCCAATGTAAAAAGCAAGAGTAGTCAGTAATTTTGCCATAAAATTTTCATAAGTACCTTAATCAAGGAGCCGAGTCAAGCTAGAAATTGTTAAATGAATGAAAGTATATAATATCGTCAATTAAAAATTGGTCATCAAGTTTTATTCCTGCATATTTGAGGGAAATTGCAATGTATATATTATCTCATTACTAAAAACAATCTGAAATGGCACTAGCCTCTGTAGAAAGTTAGTAATATTTGAAAGTTTAGATGGCTTTGTCTGAGTTTACTACTGGTTTAATAAATAACAGTAAAGCCTGCATGACAAGCTGACTTTTTTCTTTAGAGAAGTTATAATGCCCTCTTGCCCTTGAGAGGATTTCATTAGAGTGGACAATGATATGAGCTACCACTGAAGGATCTCATTGTCCTGTATCTATAGCCTGGGCCTTGCAGTAGCAGTCCAGTTTCTGACCTTGACAGCAAGACAAGCATTTGCAAGAGACACCTGAGATTTTAGTGATGTTGATACACTGCATGAAGTGAGACAGATTGCCTTTGGGTTGCTCCCAGCCCTGAATTAACTTCTCCCATTAAACTTCCATTAAGTTGGGTTATTGTTTACATTTCTTTCTCTGTTTCCCACTTTTTTCCTTAAGCTGCTCAAAGAGATATCTAGGAAACGCAGAAGCATCCGTTATGGGAGAGAAGTTGAATTAAAGCCATATATAGCCGCTCACTTTGATGTCCTTCCCACTGAGTTCACTCTGGGAGATGACAAACATTATGGTGGATTTACGAACAAGCAACTCCAAAGTGGTCAAGAATATGTCTTCTTTGTGTTAGCAGTGATGGAACACGCAGAGTCTGTAAGTTAATTGTGATGGCATCTCTTTCCTATAGCATTCTTACACATTTTCACCAGAATATGGTTATTTGGGGATACATAGGTATATTTATTCTAATTATTTCTCCTGCGCTGTCATTAACTTAATGTTGTAACAGCTGCCTACTTTGTGAACACTGCTGGCTAATCTTATTGAACTTTCATTCTAAACAGGGCTATGCCTCTAATTACAGGGAATTTAGGTGGGACTTCAAATACATAAAGTGCCAAATTGTTAGAGCATGGTCCAGGAGACCTTTGATGTGACACCCATGTTTTATAGGAGGGTGACAGCCATCAGTCCTCACAATATCTTTCCTCATCCTTTTAAAATGGCTGTAATCAGAAAAGAAAAAGATAGTTGCGTAAAACCTGGTAGACATCAGCCTGGGTGATTCCAATAGGAACAAGCTCTGCAATTGCACATATTATATTTGCACGTATTTGAAAATATTAAAAGAAGGTGATTGTATTTTATTCTACTATAACTTGCCAGTGAGCCCACAGTGCTCTCTTTTCAAATTCTCTGAGGAAGTTCTGTCTAGGAAAAGGCAAGCAGAGCCAGCTTCTTTAATTATAGCAATTTACCAGCGACTTTATCAGTGAAAAGCCAAGAAAGTTAGAAAATAATTCAATAAAACAGAGAATTCCTGAGGTACTCTAAATAATGAGTTGTCTTCTTTTATGTAATTCATCTTGCTCTTATGTCGTTTTATGCTTCAGTTGCTTTGAGTGTTAAAAAGAGAGAGGCAGAGAAATTGTAGATGGAAGGGGGATGGCTTTTGAAGTGGCAGTTCACATTAACATTTAATATATGTATTCTAAACTGTATCTTTCTAATAGATTAGGGCCTAAAACTGACAAGGCGTGGCAACTCAGTTGAGCCCATCACTTCCCTATAGAAGAGGCCTGAGATGTATTAAAGATTTCTCCACATCAGGTGTGAGCATGTACAGCGAGTGGCGCTTCTCTTCAAGTGCCTGAAGGAATCCCCTGTGGAAAATCAGAGCACGAAGGTGGCCTTTCTGCCTCGTTTACCTTTGTGCACACAATGTTGTTTGAAAAGGAAGTGACTGGCTTCCTGGAATTTTAATGCCTGGAAATGCTTTCTCTAGTTCAGGGGTCCCCAACGGCTAGGCCTCGGACCGGACCGCTAAGGGTCAGCAGCCTGTGAGAAGCCAGGCCCCAAGCAAAGCTGCCTGAGCTCCGCCTCCTGGGTGCCACGCCCCCAACTCCGCTGCCCCTGGTCTTCCCTGAAACAGGTGGTGCCGGAAAGGTTGGGGACTGCTGCTCTAGTTGAAGGTTTTAAGGCAAAACATGGAAGTTAATGGAATATTGGAAATCATCTTTTTCTTTTTTTAAGTGACTTTTAGATATCTGAAAGTAATTTTCTTTATATAGCTCTAGGATGTTTCAGAAAGTACATTCAAACCAGTGACGTAGATCAGAGAGTCCAGCAGATCACCCGGAAGATTGTTCCACTGTCAGAGACTGGTGTCTGATGTCTCCCAAATGTTTTTACTAAAATGCATCCTCATTGATGAAGGGTCTGCACCTCCCCTTGTATGTCATCCCACTGTTTCATTAATTATATAATTAGGGTTTTTTCCGAATATATTATCTGAATTGTCCCTTTCTTTTCTTCATCTTTCTCAATATTGCTCTTAAAGCTAACAGCATGGCCTTTATGTTACATATGTGTTTTCAGGCCAGCATTTATTTTAGAGAAGATACTTATCTCCAGCTAGTAAAATATTAGCAATGGTACAGTCCTTATAATTTGTGTAGAGAACATGTGTCCCCTCCCCAAAGACGGGAGCTTTATCCCAATCCATTGCCTTTTATCAAGAACATCAGAGGATGGGTGCAGAATGACCAAAGGTTTGATCTTCTGTTACCCCCACACGCTGCACAAATTCTATGTTTCACAAGGCTGGTGTCATTTTATGGTTTTGTTTCCCTTTCCCTTTTCTCATCTCTGGTTCCTGATCTATGCTCTGGGGAGACCTCTGCTTAGATTTCTATCTTGGCTCACCAAGATTATTATCTCAAAGGATCTTGGTAAAGAATTTTAAGTTGGAGAGTGTTGCTTACTTTCCTCTGCCAAACAGTTTGAGTGTGATCCGCAAAATGAAGAAAGGAAAGTGTGACCCAAAACAAACAATTATAGTTATATGAAGAATCATGTTTCTTTGATATTTAGTGTCTTTGTCAAGTCCTTTGCGTAAATCTTTCCATGTGCACATATTTCTTCTTATCTGCTTTTTAGAAGGTCCTAAATATACTGAGTTGTTAACTTTTTTGATGTATTAGAAAATCTCAAATCTCTTTCCTAGTCTCTTAAGAAAACGGGAAGGAAGAAGAGTTTACAAACATGTAGTGGGGCATGTGTTCTCTAGCTTGACTACTGAGCTTGTTGCACTTAAAATTATAATTTATGCCCATAACAAAAATTTGAAAAATGCAGATTAAAAAATTAAATATATTTACTGATCATGGGAAAAAATGAGCATATTTTTCTGTGCCTTGATAATGTCAACCATTTGAAAAGATGAACAATTTATTTTACTCAACAAAGATTTGTTGGGAATTCACCAAGTGCAAAGTTCTGGGCTAGCTGCTTTTAGCATACAAACACAAATAGTATATAAATCCCTGTCTCCCAGAAATATGTAATTTCATTAAAGAAAAGAAAACATGTGCACAGATTTAAAAAACAACAAAATTAAGTTTTCTTAATGTTTTTTTAAAAGATATTATTTATTTATTTTTAGAGAGGAGAAAGAAAGGGAGAGAAACATCAATGTGTGGTTGTCCCTCACATGCCTCCTACTGGGGACCTGGGTCGCAACCCAGGCATGTGCCCTAAACTGGGAATCGAACCAGCAACCCTTTGGTTCACAGGCAGACACTCAGTCCACTGAGCCACACCAACCAGAGCTATAGTTTGATGAATGCCATTAAAAAATGAATGAAGGGCTACCTAGAATTTTTAAAACTATTTTTACCTACATTTTGTGGAATAATTGATTATTTCTAATTAAGGAGAGTTAGTTTCATTAAAGGCAGTATTTAAGTGGAGCCTTGAAGATTGGTTGTATTTCTGGAGTTAAATGTTGTGGAACTTGTGAGAGGGTTAAAGAGAAAGAATAGAGTATTTGTGGAGTAATAACAAGAAGTTCACTATGATGGAATATGTTATATGTGGTAAGGAAGTTTAAAACAAAATTGTGGAGTACCTTAAGAACCATGCTAAGATGTCTAGGTTTTATGTAGCAGTCACCTGAGATCCTCCTAAAGTTTTCATAGCTCTCATTTAGGATAACAACTCTATCAGCAGTACAGACCGTTAGAGGAAGGAAGAAAGTCTGGGCATGGTTTGGATGAGCATGAATGAGGTCCTGAAGGAAGGTGGTACCCGTGAGACTGGAAAGAGGGTGGATGGACTTGGGGGACATAGATTTGATAAAATCAGCAGTTTTTCATTCCTAGCTACTGAGAGGATAAGAAGAATTGCAAGTCAGAAAGAGAGTGTATCTGGGAAGCAAGGAAATAACACATGTCGTTCCTAACTTAAGAATACACGCAGGAATCTCTAGAAGCAACTAGAAATGAAGGTCTGCGGCTTAGTAGAGTTCATGAGTTTAGGAATATTAGTGAGAAAGTAATCTGCATAGATGTTGTAAACGCTGGGGATGACCTTGCCAGAGAAGGGAGAAAAAGAGAGACTAGCTGAAAATAAAGCTGAAGAATGCTAGCATGGGATAGATGCAGAGGCAGTTAACTCAACAGGACATGATCAGTTGGCAAGGTTGGGAAGGGATTCGTTGAATCCAGAACTTAGAAGGGAGTTTTAAAGAAGGCTTGTTCAACTGTGGCAAGTCCAGAAAAGATGTCCGGAGGGGTAAGAATTGAATAATGGCAATTAGAGTCAGCAAACGAGAGACTCTGACCAATGCTGGAGTGAGAAGAGATGAGGAGTGAATGGTAGGAGGGGTGGGGCAGCCCATAGATGTGGATTGGTCTCTATTGGAAAAGGAAAAAATAGGGCCTTGAAAAGGAACAAAGTTAAGAGAATGCCTCTTAACCTTAGTCTAATAGAGACTAAAATAGGTCTGAACAAAGTAAAATATTATGACAACCAAATTCAGAGATACTCATAGTCTCTTTCACTGAGTAATTGTATTTTTCCAATTTTATTGAGGAAAAAATGGCAAATATAATTATGTATATATTTGAAGTATACAAAATGATGATTGGATATCCATATACATGCAAAATGGTTACCAAGATCAAGATAATTAACACACCCATCATCTCACATAGTAACTCTTCTCCGTATAGTGAGAATGCTTAAGATCTACTCTCAGCAAGTTCCGAGTGTACAACACTATATTATTAACTGTAGTCACCGGGCTGTACATAGGTCCTCAAAACTTATTCTTCTTATAACTAAAGGTTTTTACCTATGCCCTACATCTCTCCATTTCCTTCCTTAAGCCTTTGGCAGTCACCATTCTATTCTCTGCCCTTTCAGAGAGATTTATCCATGCTATTGCAAATGGCAGGTTTTCCTTCTTTTTTTATGACTGAAAATATTTCATTATATGTGTCTATATGTATGTGTACACATACATATGTATCATATTTTATTTGCTCATTCATCCATCCAGTGACACTTAGGTTGTTTCTGTATCTTAGATACTGTGAATAATGCTGCAGTGAACACGGGTGTGCAAATATGTCTTCAAGGTGATGATTTCATTTCCTGTGGATATATACCAAGGAATGTGATTGCTAGATCATGAGATAGTTCTATTTTTAATGTTTTAAGGATACAATATACTGTCTTTTATAATGGCTGTATCAATTTACATTCCCACCAACACTGTGTAAGGGTTCCCTTTTTGCTGTATCAGTTGGGAACAACCACACCAACCTCTGAGAAATAACTAATAAACTTAAATGGAATTTCTGAGTCCTTTTAATATCTAAAAAACTGTGTTCTGGAAATCCATATTGGCAGTTTCATACATCTTGCATCTATAATTTGAACATTGGATATCTCTTCTGAAGTTGTAGACTTTTTCCATTGTTTAGCCTCTCTTTTCTAACTAATGTGCTGTACTACTAATGGACTACTTACATAATTTAAGATTCAGGTAAATACTAATATTTTGCTCTATAAGTGTTTACTTTTTAAAATCTAGTCTCCTTAACTGGGTGGTAATGTCTTGAGTGCTGGAACTAATATTTCTGTTGATTTTCACATAGCATGGAACACTTTGCACAATGTAAATGCTCATTGAACAGTTTGCAACTAGTTAATTACTAGTATTTCATACTTCATAAGATCCTTTAGTATGCCATCGATAGGCCCCAATGAAAGTGTATCTGGAATAATTTATACCATCAAAAATTATCTCATTATAAAATACTTCACTATATAAGGAAATTTAGATTGCAAAGCCTCTCTACTTTTCCCTCCTTGCTTCTTCCCTTTTCTTCACCCTCCCCTCTCCTCCCTTCTCCTCCTTTTTATTTACATTGTTTCAGACACACTTGTCAAATCCACTTTTCTAGAATCTTTGTTTCTTCTAATGCTAGAGATACACACTAGAACGCATTAGTTTATAACTAACATAGACTCTGTTTTTCCTCAGAAGATGTATGCAACCAGTCCCTACTCCGACCCTGTTGTGTCAATGGATCTGGATCCACAGCCAATCACAGATGAAGAAGAAGGCTTAATCTGGGTTGTAGGTCCTGTCCTTGCAGTGGTCTTTATCATCTGCATTGTCATAGCTATTCTTCTTTATAAAAGGTAGGTTTGCCCAATAGTTCTATTGCAATCTTGGGGGCTGCATCATTTTTGAAGACTTGGTAACCCTTCTATGGTCATTATTTGGTTAATCTTAGTAGAAATACCTCAGCGTAGCCCCAGTAACATGTGAAAGCATTTCGTTAGAGTTAGAACAAAATGTAAAGACTGTACTATTTACGATCCCATTCAATGTGTGTGGTACGGACTTCATGGCCCAGCATGCACGAATCGTAGCCTCTCTCTTCTGAGCTATTTTATGTAGTACGAGCATTTTGCATGACATTTGAGACATTAGTACATTCACAAGAAGGTAATTCCATGCAAGCTTGCATTTGATTATTTTAAATGATTAATTGCTCAGTTTCAGCATGGTTTTTGAAATACTACAAATTTGTACATTTGTGTTCATTTCATAACCCTGATGTGCACATGTGCTGAGATTTCCCCTGTAGCTATTTCTCAAAACTTAGCAAAGTAGCTAAAATTTGAAGATTAGAGTAGGACAAAAAGGAAGACAATGAACTTTTTCTTTCCCTGCTTTTCTTCTAACCCTTTCCATATCTTGAATACTTAATTTTCATTAGTGTCCAAAAAGGGATGTGAGGCACCACTTTCCTTTTTTAAAAAAATCACCTTAGTTTTTATCCTCCCAAATATTAATCCGACTTAGTGTCTTTGATTACAATTAGGATGCAAATAATTCACATTTACCCATGTTTTCTGATTTTCCACTCTCTTTAAATTATTTTTCTGCCTTCATTACATATAAGCAAAAATTTTGCCACTAGATCACTGCTTAGTCAGAATGAAAGCCAATAATAGTTCTTCTACCCCTAAACACTTTTTGGCTTAAAAATATAATTATAGTATTATAAATATATAAAATTATAAAAATTAACATATATAATACATTCTCTTAAAAATTTAGAATAACTAAATTCTGAATTATCCTCCTTTATAACAACTTTTCTTTTTTTCCAATTCAAGTTTTATTTCATGAAACTCTGTGTTCCCATTTTCCTTTGTAGTGCGTCATCTTTTAGAATACTCTTTGATGGTCTCTTCGCTCTACTATGAAGTAGCTTGCTTCTCTCTCTCCCTCCAGCTCCCCGATCCCCGCTTTCTCCCTGCTTCCTACCCTTCCTCTCTCTCCTCTTTTCCCTCTCTCTCTTGCCTCAGAACCTTGACCTTCAAAATCAGATGAGAGTTTCTTCATTGTGATTCTTGTTGACATGCTTGTTCTGATCATCCTATTTCCATTATTTCTTTTTTATATCTAGTTTCTTCATTAGGTTTACATTAATTATTTCTACCTATCGTCCTTTGTTAAATATCTTCTTATATTCCTGGAATAGCCTTTATTTTTTTATAACATCTGCTCTTGACTCAAAAGTATATTCGTCCAGATACTTCTTTGCTGGAGGAATTGAGCAAAAAGGAAAAAGGACTCATGGGCATGGACAACAGTGTGGTGGTTGCCAGGGAGAAGCGGTATAAGGGGGCTAAATGATAATGGGAAAAAAATACAATAAAGATTAAATTTGAAAAAGTTTCTCTTATAAAGCTGCATTCCATTTTATTTCAGTGTGAAGAAAGGGCTAAGAAAAAAAAAAGGACAACTTAAAGAAAGAAATTCATAACCATAACCCATTAAATTGCCTAGTCTATTTTAGAGCTAAAAAGAATGAAAGAAATATCCATCATTATTTTTTTTCCTGATCACTGCCATCACTCAATTATCCATGTCATAAAAGAGCTGAAAAAGCAAATGATTAAAGGCAAAAATCCTTTCTTACTTGATGGTTTCAATCTTCTAATCCTATTTGTATCTTATCAGTGTGCATTGTATTTGATCTCCTCAGTCCTGTGCAAGACTTAAGAGCAGGAACCAGTAGGTAGCCACATGCCCCAGAACAATAACAGATCATGGGGGAATCCAAGCAGGAGCTGGTAGCCTTTGCTGTTCATGTGCTAGACTTATTACCAAAAGAGAAAACAATAATTAAAATGCAAGAGTAGAATTATAATTGTTTTCAGTGAAACATTTATTCAGGGTACCACATCCTACTGTGGGAGTCAAATCAGAAAACATGTGCTTGGTGACAGTTGCATTTCTATACCATATCACATGACATTTTGTGATTATTCAAAATGACCAAAGTGTTTGCTTTATTTTTTTAAGTGGTGTTTCATTATGATATATTTGACTATCCTTAAGTCAGGTCACTGAGCAGAAGTATGCATGAGATTTGTGAATTAGTTATGTAAATGTGAAGAAATGGGATTTTAACCTTGATCATTTTAACCTTGATAATATTTATAATCAAGTTTCCTATTGTTCATTTGCATGTGCCTGACAAAATAATCAACTCAATAATTTTTCCTAATCCTGCAAAAAGAGGCATAGCATTTAAAGGTTTTATGACTCTGTTAAAATAGTTGCATTTTAGTGTGTGCATATGTAAGCATCGTATAATGCAATTGTTGGAAGATGCACGCATCCTCGAATGCTAAGTATATTTAGCTAACCATCTGAAGGCCCATGAAGCGTTTCTGAAATAGAAATGCTTGCTTCAGCAGTAAAGAACATTCCTGACTTGAAATTCAAGTAGACCCAACAATGTCCTTCTTGATTATCATGAGGCAGTTCAAGAGGAAATCTTCTGTAGGCAATGAATAGTGTCTTTTATAGCTTAGAAACTGTGCAAAGTTAATTATGTAATAAACACTTCATCTGTTTAGGTGCCTTTGAGTTTATACATAGGTTGTTAAAATTGACTATATTATTGTCATTTTTAAAGTATTTCACTTCCTGTATATAAATGATACTTTGAGTAGGGAGTGAGTATAAAATACTGTTGACTCATATTATCTTGATAATTCTGTTTATCATATATACCTGCTTGCAAGACTACTTGTGTTTGGAGTAGGTCTGTTGCTATGGATGGTTTGTCCATGTAAAGCAGTCTGAGGAGATCTTAAGACATTCCAATTATTGAGTGGAAATAGCACTCTTTTATCTGATAGTACTATTCATTTGACTTTGTTTTAATCCAGTAATTTGTAAACCTACAATACACTGATAATCAGTAACAAAACAATATCACTGAGGCTTTGTAAAGACCCTGAAATACCTTCTGAATCATCAGAAAATTAAAACTTGTTTGGTAGGTCTTTAGTTTTACCAATTATCATACACTATGATTTGTTTTTGAAATTTTGTACTCTGTATGTGAATTAAAAATATAGAGTTAAGAGAACATGATAGCAAGGTTTAGCAATCAGTAAAACTGAGCTAAAGTCCCAGCTCTGTGACTAGCTGGCTATATGAGGTAGAAAGTCATGCCAAAACTCTGGGTCTCTGTTACCTCATTTATAAAATAAATAGGTAGACTAAATAAATAGGTAGAATAAATTAGACCTTTTTAATAATAATTTCTATAATGAGAACATCAAAGTAATAGACTTTGTGCTCTATTATTTTTGCCTCCCGGAGTTGTGTGTATGTTTTGTAAATCTGCCTCCATGTTGCCCTTCTCCCCACTGCCCGCCACATACACACAAAAGAATCCACAAAGCAATTGAATGTTCTTAGATATTTGTCTATCCTGTACATATTTGTTACATATGTAGGGTATTTCAACCATTAACTCTAGAACTGTCCAGGAATTCTCAATACAGAAAATATTGTAAAATAAAATGTTAAGCTGAATATATGGGGAATCATTTCAGGATGGACGAGAAGTGTTTATTATGTACTGTGGGGGGAGAGAAAGAAAATATAGGTTAGGAAGCTGGAGAAATCTAAGGCATGGTCTAGACAAAATGATCATCCTTAACAGTGATAGTCTCCCATGTATGGATACTGTAGAAACAGTAAATAATTTTCAAACCTACTCCTGGACTCTAATATGCGAAGGCCAGGAGGTAGATGTGACTAAAGTAAGACTTCAGCTTTTCCCAGATCTAACCCTGGCCCTCTGTGGGCTTTGTTTCTGTAATCTTCCCTTTTTAAATCAACCCTACCTATATTTCCAAGGTGTCATCAAAGAAAGTCCTTTCCTAAGCCTTCAACACCTTTCCTCTCATTCCACGGTCACTCCTCTACCCGCTGCGTAGGGTAGGCTAAGGAGTCTTATTCCTCGCTGTACCCTTTGTGCCTAGTAGAGTGCGTGACAAGGAGATATTGGGTGATTGAATTTATACAAGCCAAATAGTATTAAACAAACTCGATTTCCCCCACTTGCTTACTCCATCATTCAGTATTGCCTTTATCTTGGCTGGCAAGAGCTATAATGAAACCCTCAGCTTATAATTTAAATATACTCATTCCAAAAGCCTTCAAACTAGGACATTTACACCAAATACATACCCATATGTGTGGTGAGGCTGACATTTCTATGGAAGAACGAGTGAATTGCACATTGTATTTGTTCATCTGAATTATCAACAGCCTTTTAATAAACAAAACTGATAATTCACTAACTGATTCTCTTCCAACCAGAAAAATAGATTTTCCTACAACTGATGACCTCATTGATTAAAAAATGAGTAAGTTTGAAACATACAAGTAGGATTTTTTAAAACCTGGCACCACCAGATAAATCACTTTAAAATTAATAATAGAATTGACTTGTATGTTTGGTATTATTTTCATTATTCTTTTTGTATGTTTTCTGTACACTTTACATGTGGCTTTTGTAGTTCGGAAAAGAGATGGACTAAATTATTTCAAAGAGAGAGTATCTATTTTGTTGGCAGTAAGGTAGACTTGGTACCTTTATTTTTATAATTGAAAACTCACTAAATACTTTGCAATTTGCCTGACCATGAAGATTGCTTAGTTACATCTTTAGAGGTAAAGGATATACTCTCTGCAGAAAGTGTGTACACATGTTATCACAGGTGGAAGTGGCTGCGAGCATGAGCTGAGTGTGTTCGTGGACAGCAGCACCTCTTTGACTAGGAAAGTATCTGTCATGGTAATGGCTGGTAATAAA